AATGAACTGCCATTCACAATTGCTACAGAGAGAATAAAATACGTAGGAATACAACTAACAAGGAACATAAAGGACCTCTTCAAAGAGAACTACAAACTGCTGCTCAACGAAATAAGAGAGGACACAGATGGAAAAACATTCCATGCTCATGGTTAGGAAGAATCAATATTGTGAAAATGGCCAAAGTAATTTACAGATTCAACGCTATCCCCATCAAGTTACCAATGACCTTCTTCACAGAACTGGAAAAAACCACTTTAAACTTCATATGGAACCAAAAGAGAGCCCGCATAGTCAAGTCAATTCTAAGCAAAAAGAACAAAGTGGGAGGTATCACACTACTGGACTTCAAACTATACTACAAGGCTACAGTAACCAAAACAGCATGGTACTGGTACCAAAACAGAGATATAGACCAAATGGAACAGAACCGTGGCCTCGGAGGCAACACAACATATCTACAACCATCTGATCTTTGACAAACCTAACAAAAACAAGCAATGGGAAAAGGATTCCCTGCTTAATAAATGGTGTTGGGAAAACTGGCTAGCCATCTACAGAAAACAGAAACTGGACCCCTTCCTGACACCTTACACTAAAATTAACTCCAGATGGATTAAAGACCTAAACATAAGACCTAACACCATAAAACCCCTAGAAGAAAATCTAGGCAAAACCATTCAGGACATAGGCGTAGGCAAGGACTTCATGACCAAAACACCAAAAGCATTGGCAACAAAAGTCAAAATAGACAAATGGGACCTAATCAAACTCCACAGCTCCTGCATGGCAAAAGAAACAGTCATTAGAGTGAATCAGCAACCAACAGAATGGGAAAAAAATTTTGCAGTCTACCCATCTGACAAAGGGCTGATATCCAGAATTTACAAATAACTAAAACAGATTTACAAGAAAAAAACAAGCCCATTCAAAAGTGGGCAAAGGATATGAACAGACACTTTAAAAAGAAGACATACATGAGGCCAACAAACATATGAAAAAGTGCTCATCATCAATGGTCATTAGAGAAATGCTTAAAACTACATTGAGATACCATCTCACGCCAGTTAGAATGGCAATCATTAAAAAATCTGGAGACAGCAGATGCTGGAGAGGATGTGGAGAAATAGGAACACTTTTACACTGTTGGTGGGAGTGTAAATTAGTTCAACCATTGTGGATGACAGTGTGGCAATTCCTCAAGGACCTAGAAATAGAAATTCCATTTGACCCAGCAATCCCATTACTGGGTATATATCCAAAGGTTTATAAATCGTTCTACTATAAGGACACATGCACACAAATATTCATTGCAGCACTGTTTACAATAGCAAAGACCTGGAACCAACCCAAATGCCCATCAATGATAGATTGGAAAGGGAAAATGCGGCACATATATACCATGGAATATTATGCAGCCATCAAAAATGACGAGTTCGTGTCGTTTGTAAGGACATGGAAGAACCTGGAAACCATCACTGTCAGCAAACTGACACAAGAACAGAAAATCAAACACCACATGTTCTTACTCATAGGTGGGAGTTGAACAATGAGAACACATGGACACAGAGAGGGGAGCATCACACACTGGGGTCTGTTGAGGGTAAATAGGGGAGGGACAGCGAAGGGTGGGTAGTTGGGGAGAGATAGCACAGGGAGAATTGCCAGATATAGGTGAAGGGGAGGAAGGCAGCAAATCACACTGTCATGTGTGTACCTATGTAACAATCTTGCATGTTCTTCACATGTACCCCAAAACCTAAAATGCAATTGAAAAAAAAAAAGAAAGAAATTTGAGACTGGGCGTGGTGGCTCACACCTGTAATCCCAGCTCTTTGGGATGCAAGGCGGGCAGATCACAAGGTCAGGAGTTCGAGACCAACCTGGCCAATATTGTCAAACCCTGTCTCTACTAAAAATACGAAAATTAGCCGGGCATGGTAGTATGCATCTGTAGTCCCAGCTATTTGGGAGATTGAGGCAGGAGAATTGCTGGGACTCGAGAGATGAAGGTTTTAGTGAGCTGAGATGGCGCCACTGCACTCCAGCCTGGGGGACACAGCAAGACTCTATCTCAAAACAACAACAACAAAAAAAGGTTTTGAAAGACACTAGAACAAATCAATGGTTTCAAAGGCCCTTCCCACTCTGATTCTGTGAATCTACTGGAATAAGCAGCACATCAAGGAAAAGTGCATCAGAGAAAAAGCATTAAGGGCTCCACCGTACCAAGAAATATTTAAGAAATTTGACGCTGGGTGCGGTGGCTCACACCTGTAATCCCAGCTCTTTAGGAGGCAAGGCGGGCAGATCACAAGGTCAGGAGTTCGAGACCAACCTGGCCAATATTATCAAACCTTGTCTCTAATAAAAATACAAAAATTAGCCGGGCATGGTAGCATGTGTCTGTAGTCCCAGCTACTTGGGAGGCTGAGGCAGGAAAACTGCTTGAACCCAAGAGGCAGAGGTTGCAGTGAGCCAAGATTGTGCCACTGCACTCCAGCCTGGGCAACAGAGGGAAACTCCGTCCCCCCAAAAAAAAGAAAAGAAAAGAAATTTGAAGATGAGGCTAGGTGCCATGTCTCATGCCTGTAATCCCAGCACTTTGAGAGGCTGAGGAAGGTGGATCACCTGAGGTCAGGAGTTCACGACCAGCCTGGCCAACATGGTGAAACCCCATCTCTACTAAAAATACAAAAATCAGTCGGGTGTGGGGGCATGCTCCTGTAACCCCAGCTACTCAGGAGGCTGAGGCAAGAGAATCGGTTTGAACCCAGGCAGTGGAGGTTGCAGTGAGCCAAGATCATGCCACTGCACTCCAGCCTGGGTAACAGAGTGAGACTATCTCAAAAAAAAAGAAAAAAGAAAAAAGAAAGAAATTTGAAGATGCTTGGCCAGTTGTAATCCCAGACTTGGAAGGCTGAAGTGGAAGGATCCTGTGAGGCTAGGAGTTCAAGACTATAGTGGGTTATGCTTACACCTGTGAATAGCCACTGTATCCCAGCATGCTCAACATAGCAAGACCCTGTGTCTAAATAAAGAAATAAATACATTTTTTAAATTAAAAAAAAAAATGAAGATGCCATTTGGACCAAAAAAATCAGAAGAAGCTGGGCACAGTGACACATACTTGCAACTTTAGGAGACTGAGCTTCTTGAGGCCAGGAGTTCAAGACCAGTCTGGACAATATACTAAGAACCTGTCTCACCAACAACACAAAAAATTAGCCAAGCATGGTGACACATGCCTGTAGTCCCTGCTACTTAGTAGACTGAGGTGGGAGAATCACTGGAACCCGGGAGTCTAAGCTATGATTGTGCCACTGCACGCCAGCCTGGGTGACAGAGAGAGACCCTATCTCTAAAATAAATAAATAATCAGAAAAAGGAAATATTAATAGTAAGTTTTCCACCTTTGGCACAAATAATGACTGTATCTTCTGTTCATTGAAATTGCAGTGCATACCCAGTGTTTTGCTACATTATTGTTAATCCTTATTGAAATTCTGCAAAGTAAGTATTATTATCCCTAATTTTATAGTAGAACAAACTGCAACCCAATGAATTTTGGTGACTTCTTCAAGCTTACCCAAGTAATACATAATAGAGCCAGAATTTGAACTTGGGTATCTGATTCCAAAACCTGAACTTTTCTATTTTGAGAAAACAAATTTTACTATGCACAGAGCAGTAAAAATGCCAATTAGTACCATCATCAAACATTCAAAAATTTCTTAATTCCTCGACACAATTAAACAATTGAAATACTATTATACATACGCCTACTCTTTTCCATAATATTGCTCTATAGCGCTATTAGCTCTATTAATCCAATATCTGAATGAGGCTTCTTGTAAAAAGTTTTCTTCAGGCCAGGCATGGTGGCTCACAGCTGTAATCCCAGCACTTTGGGAGGCCGAGGAGGGTGGATCACTTGAGGTCAGGAGTTCAAGACCAGCCTGGCCAACGTGGTGAAACCCCATCTCTAAGAAAGAAAAGAAAAAGAAGAAGAAAAAAGTTTTCTTCAGTGTGTAATGGTGTTGTAATTGTGCAGGAGAATGTTACATTCCTATGGGGTGCGTGATGAAATATTTAAGAGGAAATGGCATAATATCTGCAACATATTTTCAATGGCTCAGCAAATAAATATATCTATATATTTGAACACACAAAGCAAATATGGAAAAATGTTCTCAACTGCTGAAACGTAGGTAATGTGTTGTGGTACTCATTGAACTATTGTTAAATTTTCTGTATTCAAAAACATTTTTATAATAAATATTAAGGGCTAGGCATGGTGGTTCATGCCTGTAATCCCAGCACTCTGGGAGGCCAAGGTGGGCCGACCAGTCTGGACAACATGGTGAAATCCTGTCTCTACAAAAATTACAAAAATTAGCCAGGTGTGGTGGCATGCCTGTAGTCCCAGCTACTCATGAGTCTGAGGTGGGAGGATCACTTGAGCCCAGAAGGTCAAGACTGCAGTGAGCCATGATTGTACCACTGCACTCTAGCCTGGGTGACAGAGCGAGACCCTGTCAATAAATAAATAAGAATTGAGGAAAAAATGCCTTTTCACTCCACTTGAAACACACATATACATTTAAACACACACATAAACAAACCAACACCAGAAAAGCGGGAAGTAATGTAAAGTGAAGAAAAGTCAGCTGGAGCAAGGGCAAGAGCAGAAAGAATGCTGGAGTCCCAAATACTCAGGAGGCTGAGGCAGGAGAACTGCTTGAAACTGGAAAATGGAAGTTGTAGTGATCTGGGATCATGCCATTGCACTCCAGCCTGGTGACAGAGTGAGACCGTCTCAAAAAAAAAAAAAAAAAAAAGAAAGAATAAGAACTTTTGATTTCATAGTCAGACTGATGAACAGCATGCATTTATCTCAACTTCTAGAGACTATTAAAATGATAATAAAGGAATAAACAACACAATAATGATGAGAACATAAAGGGACTTAGAGGGCATAGAAATGATTTTATTTATCTTAAATGTAAAATTCGCATCAAACATGAGTTCTTTTTCGTGTCCTGTAATTCCTCCATTGTAAATAACTTGGCATCTCCTGGTTGGTCCTGTCTTAGAGCATTTGAAGAGGCAAAATGTTGCAGAAACAAAACAACAGTCACCTAAAAACAGAATTTATCCACGGTTAACTCCAGCACTCCCTCAGCAGACAACAAGCAAACAAGTTATAAAGATGACTTTCTTCTTTGCATCTCATCAGTTATCTTTCTGGGCACTTCACTCTATTTACTGAATGACTTCAAAGTGCTTTATTAAATATCAAAATTGGGGGGGTTACCATTAGACAGGAGACAAGATAGCTATTTCCAGATAACACAAAGTATCCCTCAAGTATCAGAAGCCACTTACTAATCACCGAATTTCAGTCATTCAAGTTGTAGTTATAATAGTCCCTGCTGTCTGTCATAGCTTACTGATAACTCTTTCCAGTTCCTTGTTTTGAATTGAAATGAGATTGGCAGTGACCAAATGTGGAGGGCAGAACCCAATTTTTTGAGCAAGGATAGCAAGTTCCTTTCAGTACAAAGCACCACCCAGACACTCACCCAAAAAACAAAAAACAAGCAAACAATGATAAAAAAAAAAGAAAAGAAACCACTTAAATGATTACCAATGGCAAAATGATTACAGTACAGTATAGCTCCACAATACAATTGTGTAATACAAAGTTTTAAAAAATTTTCTTAAAATTTAGGCCAAAGACACAAAATTAGAAACTACATTCTATATATGGCATGCCCTGAATTTTATTATACACATGCACAGAAATAAACCAAATTACATGAATATTTCCTAAAATGTTAGAGAGGTTATCACTGGGTTACATGATGATAAGTAATTTCTTTTAAGAGACAGGGCTTTACTATGATGCCCGGGCTGTACCCGTACTTCTAGAATCAAGCAATCCTCCTGCCTCAGCCTCCCAAATATCTGGGATTACAGGTGTGTGCCAGTGTGTCCAACTTAGTAATTTTTTCTCTTTTTTTTTTGTACTTTGCAACTTATTAACAGTATCTATTTATTATTATATAAGAATAAAGTTAACATTATTTTAAGAATAAGAATTTTTGGCCAGGCACAGTGGCTCACGCCTGTAATCCCAGCACTTTGGGAGGCTGAGGCAGGCGGATCACAGGGTCAAGAGATCAAGTCCATCCTGGCCACCATGGTGAAATCCCATCTCTACTAAAAATACAAAAAACATTTAGCTGGGTGTGGTGGTGCATGCCCGTAGTCCCAAATACTCAGGAGGCTGAGGCAGGAGAACTGCTTGAAACTGGAAAATGGAAGTTGTAGTCATCTGGATCATGCCATTGCACTCCAGCCTGGTGACAGAGTGAGACTGTCTCAAAAAAAAGAAAAAAAAAAAGAAAGAATAAGAACTTTTGATTTCATAGACTGATGAAAAGCATGCATTTATCTCAACTTCTAGAGACTATTAAAATGATAATAAAGGAATAAACAATACAATAATGATGAGAACATAAAGGGACTTAGAGGGCATCAGCTCTGAAACAACTGTCCTCATTTCTGCACTAGAGTTTTCAAAGTATTTTTCCCATTCTTTATCCCATGTAATCTTCGTAACAGCCCTAGAAGGCAGGCTATATTATTGTTTACGTTTTATAGTTTGGAAAACAATAACTCAAAGAGATGAATTAAACTATCCACAGCCCTATCACTTTTGAATAGCAGAGGAAGAATGGAACCTTGGCCTCATATGAGGCCTAGTCCCACGTGGTCTCATATGATATACCTTCATCCTGGCTATTAGCAGAAAGGAGCTCTGCACAAGCAACCATCTGCCTTAAAACTAACCAGAACAAAATCACCTACCCCATAAAGCTTTGTGTGTCCTGATTTCTTCTGGCAGTTCAAGGCTTATATAGACGTCACTGAAATATAACTCCCCACCATACTGAAACAGACCTACATTAGTCCAAATAAGATTAATGATTACATTGATCCCAGATAACAAAGAAAGGAATAAGGGAACAAAGTCAAATCTAAAAATCAATAGCAGTGTTTAAGCTGACCCTTTGTGAACAAATAACAGCTGCCTCTTCACTTATAATCAATAGTCAAGCGCCAAGATTTTTTTCCTCCCAGTGGCTTGTCCAACAGGTAATAAAATCACATTCTAAGAGTGTCTGTCTCCTAAATGAAGATATTCAGGTTACTTAAATTTTTAGCCAATCTGAACCAAAAGCAGCCCCAGGTCACTGGAGAACTAACAAGATATAAGCAGTATTCATAAACTTTTATCTCTTAAGAATGATATAACTTTGTCAGGTATGATGGCTCATGCCTCTCATCCCAGTGACTCAGGAGACTGAAGTGGGAAGATTGCTGGAGGTTAGCAGTTTCAGACTAGCCTTGGTAACAGAGCAAGACCATCTCTCCAATACAGAAAATTTAAAAATTAGCTGGGCAGGCCGGGCACGGTAGCTCATGCCTGTAATCCCAGCACTTTGGGAGGCAGAGGCTGGCGGATCACAAGGTCAGGAGTTCGAGACCAGCCTGACCAACATGATGAAACCACATCTCTACTAAAAATACCAAAAAAAAATTAGCTGGGTGAGGTGGCAAGCACTTGTAATCCCAGCTGCTCAGGAGGCTGAGGCAGGAGAATCGCTTGAACCTAGGAGGCAGAGGTTGCAGTGAGCCAAGATTGTGCCATTGCACCCCAGCCTGGGTGACAGAGTGAGACCCTCTCTCAAAAAAAAAAAAAAAAAAAAAAAAAAAAATTAGCTGGGCATGGTGGCATGTGCCTGGAATCCTAGCTACTCAAGAGGATCGTTTGAGCCCAGGAGTTAGAAGCTGCAGTGAGGTATTATAGTGACACTGCACTCCAGCCTGGGTGACAGCAACACTCCATTTCTATTAAAAAATATAACTTTTTGTAATGTTATTTACTTTTATAACAACACATTTTATCTTTAAAATATTGTCCTTAAAACGTAAAGCAAATGAGTGATCAGGAACTTAACATTTTATTTAGCTAATTTCAAAAATTTGGAAACCTGGAGATCTAGATTCTACAATAGTGTTTCTACCTTTTTTTTTTTTTTTTGAGACAGAGTCTCATTCTGTCACCAGGCTGGAGTTCAGCAGCACAATCTTGGCTCACTGCAACCTCTGACTCTCTGGTTCAAGTGATTCTCCTGCCTCAGCCTCCCCAGTAGCTGGGATTACAGGTGCTTACCACCTCACTCGCCTAATTTTGTTTTTTGTATTTTTAGTAGAGATGGGGTTTCATCATGTTGGCTAGGACGGTCTCGACCTCCTGAGCTCATGATCCATCCACCACAGGCTCCCAAAGTGCTGGGATTACAGGCCTGAGCCACCGAGCCTGGCCTCTACCTTTTAGAAGTACATTTTTGGTGGAGATAGTGAACTGGTCTATAAAATGGCATACTAACAAAGACATCACTAAATCATTAAATCATTTCTACATAGGTATTTGTATTTGAGTTCTATGACAGCTTTGTAAAACAAATATCTCAAAAACATATTTTTAATTAAAAAAATTTTTTTAGAGATACGCGTCTCACTATATTGCCCAGGCTGGACACAAATTCCATACAAGCAGCTGGGAGTACAGGCATGTACTATCCACCCAGCTAGAATCTTTTTTTTTTTTTTTTAAGATGGAATCTCGCTCTGTCTCCCAGGCTGGAGTGCAGTGGTGAGATCTTGGCTCACTGCAACCTCTGCCTCCTGGGTTCAAGTGATTCTCCTACCACAGCCTCCTGAGGAGCTGGGATTATAGGTGCACGCCACCACACTCAGCTAATTTTTGTAGTTTTAGTAGAGACAGGGTTTCACCATATTGGCCAGGCTCAAACTCCTGACCTCAGGTGATCCACCCACCTTGGCCTCCCGCAGTGCTGGAATTACAGGAGTAAGCTACCGTGCCCAGCAGAATCTTTCATCTTCTATCATGAAGATACACATCTCATGATACAATGAAGGCTGTGGAGCTCCTGCAAGGTTTCCTTTTAGAAAGTAGTTAATGTAGGGCCAGGTATGGTGGCTCATGTCTGTAATCCCAGGACTTTGGGAGGCCAAGGCGGGTGGATCACAAGGTCAGGAGTTTGAGACCAGCCTGACCAACATGGTGAAACCCCATCTCTACTAAAAATACCAAAATTAGCCAGGTAGTGTGTGCCTGTAATCCCAGCTACTCAGGAGGCTGAGGCAGAAGCATTGCGGGAGGCAGAGGTTGCAGTGAACCAAGATCATGCCAATGTACTCCAGCCTTGGTGACGGAGCAAGACCCTGTCTCAAAAAAAAAAGAAAGAAAGAAAGTAGTTAATGTAAAAGTTCCATCTTCTGTAATTTCCCAAAGATCTGAAATCATGACAGATAAGAAGTAAGAAGCCCTGAGAAACACTGTACATGCTAGAAGAGAGTTTATTCAAAGCAATCATTAGTAGTTAGTGCAAAGATTCCTACAGCTCCACAGATGCTATTCTAGGATCATGTATAGCAGCAAATAGGAAGAGAGACAGTCAAGAAAGCAAATACCTAACACATGCAGTGACAATTGTCACTTCGGATTTACTACCTCTTGCAACCTGAGAGGGAAAGTAATCCATATCCAGGGTATTCCTGTCCCTTCCCCCTTTTGCCATACCTTTTTCATTCAATGGATAAATTAAGAGAGTTTGAGCTCTCAGTTCGCGGGGGAAACAAGACTGAACCCGTCAGCTCTCACTGATGTTCAAAGGTAATCGATCTCACTCTCCTCACCTTCAGCACCCAGTGTGCCTCCTGCAGCACTTGTTATCAGGCACAAGATTAATAACACAGTTTGATCTAAAAGAGAACAAATGAAATGTCGAGCAAATCTTCACGATACTCAAAAATCTGCAAGTCCTTTTAGACCCTAAAGGTGGCTCCCACCTTTCTGTTCAAAGCTACCCCATTCTCCCTGCTTCCCTCCTCTCTTCCTAATGCCATCAACTAACCTTTTCCCCAAGATCACAGACAGAGTGTTTAAAATCTCAATAAATTCTTAGCAAGTCTGAATGTGCAGAAAAAAAATATCAGACATGATTCTTATTTCTGTCCTGATGTTCACTAGGTAACAAGATGAAAACTCGGACCAGATTCTTATTTCTGTCCTGATGGTCACTAGGTAGCAAGATGAAAACTCGGACCAGATTCTTATTTCTGTCCTGATGTTCACTAGGTAACAAGATGAAAACTCGGACCAGATTCTTATTTCTGTCCTGATGGTCACTAGGTAGCAAGATGAAAACTCGGACCAGATTCTTATTTCTGTCCTGATGTTCACTAGGTAACAAGATGAAAACTCGGACCAGATGCCTACTATAGAAGGCATTTCTGATGCCCCATGGAAACCGGCTGCGTTCCTCAAATGCAGCTTTCTTACGGCTGTCACCTGGGCACAATTTGACAATAACAGCTTGAGGGAAAAAAGGAAACAGTATCCTTATCATTTGCCATGGAAGAATTATGAAAGATAACAGGGCACCATGTATTGTATGAGCAAACTTAGTGGTCCTGCTGGTCTTTTGGGTTCATTAGTTTGTGGTTAAGTTTCAAGTAAGTTCTTTCTTGGTCTATTGTGTTTGGTGGGCTCCAGCAGCTCAAACTAGCTCTCTCCCATTAGTAAGCCATGAGCTTAGTCTAACACTAAATGAAAGTCAGTTCAGCAAATAGTAGTAGTGACATCTGTGTGTTCAAAAGGAAATGAGGGCTGGGTGTGGTGGTTCACACCTATAATCCAAGCACTTTAGGAGGCCAAAGTTGGTGGATCACCTGAGGTCAGGAGTTTGAGACCATCCTCGCCAACATGGTGAAACCTTCTCTCTACTAAAAAAAAAAAAAGAAAAGATTTAAAATAGTACCTGGGTGTGGTAGCATGTGCCTGTAATCCCAGCTACTTGGGAGGCTGAGGCAGGAGAATCACTTGAACCTGGGAGGCAGAGGTTACAGTGAGCTGAGATTGGGCCACTGCACTCCAGCCTGGGCAACAGAGCAAGAGTCCATCTCAAAAAAATGTTTTAAATTAAAAATAAAAAAATGGGCTATACTCATAACAGTAAGAATATAGAACTACACAATAATATCATAGCTCTCATTCTTGATTCCAGCCTGTCCCAACTTCTCGATGCAGCCATGAATAAAAGTCATATGAGATGACTGGAAGCCATATTTTTCCATGTGATAGTCAAGATACTTTTCAGCCACTTCCACCTAAAGGAAGAAAAATATAGTTTTGACAACATTTTGAAAAAAAATACTACTTTTCCCTAAAACTTTTCCTATTGCATACTTCTCCTAGATTATTTTGGATAAATATACAAGATTCTTGTGGACATGTAGGCTATACTATAGCCTGGGACACAAAGTCCCTGCTGCCCGTGCAGTTTTGCTTGAATAAACTCCTCATTCAATAACAAAATCTTTCGGGATAGGTGGCAGGAAGAAGGGAAAGATCAAAGTACACTCTGTCATCACGATATTCATGTCAGAGCAAACCTCCGACTCTTGTGTTTGCCCAGAAGGGCCTCTACTTGTCTAAATTATCAGCTTCCAAGACAGGAAGCACTAGTGGCACAAATGAGCATTGCTAACTAGAGGCTTTCTTAAATTATTCTTGAAGAGCCATGAAGAAAAGAACTTCATTTCTCAAAGAACGCTTTTGAGAATCTTTTCCTCCTTGTCTTCCAAGTTATTGCCTCACCTGGCCTTTAGTCATGTCTATTCCAGTCACACGTCCCTTTTCACCAACCAGCTGGCTAAGTACATAGCAATCTCTGCCACTTCCGATACCCAGATCCAAAATCCAGCAGTTTTCTAGATGCTCAGGGATCACCAGACCACAGCCATAATACCTGGGAAATGGAAAACACATATTTTCCCCTGGAGACTAGAAGACTTGAAACCACTAAATCTTATACATACTTCCCTTCTTCCTTCCTCCCTCCCTCCTTTCCTTCCTTCCTTCCTTCCTTCCTTCCACTCACTCATACTTCTGTTTTGTTGTTTAGTCTCTACTAAACTGACGTCCATGAAGGCTGGGACTTTATCTGCTTTACCACAGTATTACTGAGCATGTGCTAGGCACTAAGACTTCATAAGCCATCTAAAATAATGTGTTCAGGCTGAGTGTGGTGGCTCATGCCTGTAATCCCAGCACTTTGGGAGGTCGAGGCAGGCAGATCACTTGAGGCAAGGAGTTTGAGACCAGCCTGGCCAATATGATGAAACCCTGTCTCTACTAAAAACACATAAAAAAAATCAGCCAGGCATAGTAGCAGGTGCCTGTAACCCCAGCTATTCAGGAGGCTGAGGCAGAAGAATCTTTTGAACCTAGGAGGCAGAGGTTGCAGTGAGCTGAGATGGCGCCACTGCACTCCAGCCTAAGCAACAGAGTGAAACTTCGTCTCAAAAAATAAACAAATAAAATAATGTGTTCAATAAATACATTTAGGCATTAGCTGAGCTTCTAATTCAGGCCCAGGACTGTGCTAGTTATTAAGGAAGAGATGTAAGGTTTCTGTTCCATAGGTATGGAGTGCAGTGGCTATTCACATCCTGGATCGCACACTCCAGCCTGGAACTTCTGGATTCACGTGATCCTCTGCCTCCTCGCGAGGACCTTTGGGACTACAAGCTCACTAGCGCGCCCAGATTCATCGGAGGTTCTTAGAGCAGTAAGATGATGGGTGCTGAGATTTAGGATTTTTACAATAGACAAGACAAGCTGGATGAGTTGGTGGCTACGGGTTAATTTCCTAGTGACCTTTATCATTATCTTTTGGGCAAACTGCAGTTTGGGGTCTTCCTGGGGACAGCGCGGGGCACTCTACCTTAGGGCTATTTCTTCGTGTACATTTTGCAAGGCTTCCCGGATGTGCTTGGGGACCGGCCTGGCTGTGGTGACACAGGCATTGGTCTGGAGGTCTGCCGATTTCTTCAGCACCCGCCCGTAGTAGGTCTGACCCAGCGTCGACAGTGGAGTGAGGAGCAGGGAGAACAGCTGTGACTGCAGCGCGAGGGCTCCGTCACCACCTCCACCTCCACTTGGTGGACCTCAGTTCCCTGCAAAGGTCGAAGCCTAGACCCTGCCCTGACTCCAGGGGTCCCAGGGGACAGGGCATGGGCAGGCCGGACTTCCATCAGCCTTGGCTCCACTTGGGCCAACCCAGGCCCTACAGCTCTCACCTGCACGTCCTTCTGGATCTCAGTGTCCTCGCGGGGGGCAGCCACTGTCGGGAGAGGGAATGGTAGCTGAAAGGAAGAGGGTGCTGAGGGACAGGCACGTGAGAGGGGGCCAGCAAGGGGCAGGCAGTGGGTCCAGGGGTGCGGGGAGGACCAAGGTATCGAGAAGCAGCTCTGGGGAGGAGCTCGCGCTCGAGCTCCCGCCTGGCTGGGGGCCCAGGGAAGGGGCTGAGGGCCTGTAGGAGGTCTGCAGTGGGGACCCGGGGCGGGACGGGCACTCACTGTCTCCTCAGCCTGGGACTCCAGAAGGCGGGTTCCTGCAGCCAGCTCCAGTGCCCAGGCCTCGCCCAGGCTGGCAGCTCCCACCCGCCTGGCCCACTCCAGCATCCCGCTTAATCCCTCCGCTGTGATTTTCAGGGATAAATCTCGTACTCTGACTTAAATGAACACTAACCTATATAATGATCTTCCCCCCTCCCCTTTTGGGAATGGAATCACCTTTTCTCCATCTGGTTTTCTTTGTTTTTTGTTTCTTTGAGACAGTTTCACTCTTCACTCTTGTTGCCCAGGCTGGGGTGCAAAGACGCGATCTCAGCTCATCGCAACCTCCGCCGCCAGCCGAGTTCAAGCGATTCTCCCGAGTAGCTGGGATTACAGGCGCGAACCACCTCCCCAGTAGCTGGGGTTACAGACTTGCACCACCACGCCTGGCTTTTTTTTTTTTTTTTAATTTTTTTTATTTTCTGTAGAGACGGGGTTTCGCCATGTTGGTCAGGCTGGTCTCAAACTCCCAACCTCAGGTGATCCACCGCCTCCACCTCCCAAAGTGCTGGGATTACAGGCGCTAACCACCGCACCTTGCCTCTAGATCTGTTTTTTAAAGTCAGATTTATTGAGATATAATTCACATTCTGTAAAATCCATCTTTCCTTTTTTTTTTTTTTTTTTTGAGACGGAGTCTCTCTGTCGCTAGGCTGGAGTGCAATGCTGCGAGCGATCTCGGCTCACTGCACCCTCCGCCTTCTGGGTATAAGTGATTCTCCTGCCTCGGCCTGCCAATTACAGCCTGAGATTACAGGCACATGCCACCATGCTCAGCTAATTTTTGTATTTTTAGTAGAGTCGGGGTTTCACCACGTTGGCCAGGATGGTCTCAATCTCCTGACCTGGTGATCCACCCGCCTCCGCCTCCCAAAGGGCTGGGATTACAGGCGTGAGCCACCGCACCCGGCCCCATCTTTCTTCAGTGAGCCGTTCTGTGAATTCTGACAAACGTATACATACACATCATCATAACAGAAACCAAAATAGCCCTGCCCCCACAAGTTTCTTCGTGCCTCTTTGTAGTAAATTCCCTCTTCCCACCCTCAGCTCCTGCGCAACCACAGATATTTTCCCTCCCTACAGTTCTGCCTTTTCTAGAAATGTCAGGTAGATGGAACTATTACAGCATGTAGCTCTACTTTGGGTTGTATTTAGGAAACCAACTTTGCTAAATTCATTTTTACCTACAGTAAATTTTGGTTAATTCACATGTATTTTCTAGGTATTGTCACTTCATCTTCCAGAAATTTTTTTAATTTTTTTTTAAACGGTCTGTCTCTGTCACCCAGACTGAAACTCCCGGCTCAAGTAATCCTCCCCGCTCAGCCTTCCAGGTACCTTGGATTACAGGCGTGCACCACCACACTTGGCTAATTTTTGTATCTTTCTGTAGAGATTAGATTTCGCTATGCTGCACAGGCTGGTCTCCAACTCCTGGGCTCAAGTGATCCACCCACCTCGGCCTCCCAAAACGTTTGGATTACAGGAATGAGCCACCACACCGGGCCTGGAAGTTTGTTTGTTTTTAATATGGAATGCTTCACGAATCTGCATGTCATCCTTGCGCAGGAACCATGCAAATGTTCTCTGTATTGTTCCAATTGTAATACATGTGCTGCTGAAAGTATTTTTTAATTATTTATTTTTACTTATAGGTGTGTATCTTACTTCCTTTTGTGGTTATAAGAAGCATTTCTCTTTTTACTTTAAATTAAAAAAAAAAAATTTAGAAACAGGGTCTCACTCTGTGGCCCAGGCTTAGCATCACTGAGCAATCACCTCTGGATCCTTGAACTCTGGCCTCAAGCCATTCTCCCGCCTCAGCCTCCCCAGTAGCTGGGACTACAGGTGTGATCCACCATGCCCAGCTTGTAATAATCATTTCTATTCATTAGGAAAATAAGGAGACAGGGAGATCCAAGTGAAAGGATATCTAAATGGAAGAAGTGGACTCCTTTATTCATTTTTGAATCTCAACTGCCAATAATACAAAAATCTGGTTGATATCCAGCTAGTAAATTTTCATTTTCCCTGATGTCAATTAGTGGTTACAAATTAACAGAAAGGTGGTGCCTTTTATATTTTTAACAAATTAAACCCATGAAAACAATTCCTGTTGAAATTTTTTTTTTTTTTTTTGAGACGGAGTTTCGCTCTTGTTACCCAGGCTGGAGTGCAATGGCGCTATCTCGGCTCACCGCAACCTCCGCCTCCTGGGTTCAGGCAATTCTCTTGCGTCAGCCTCCCGAGTAGCTGGGATTACAGGCACGCGCCACCGTGCCCAGCTAATTTTTTGTATTTTTAGTAGAGACGGGGTTTCACCATGTTGACCAGGATGGTCTTGATCTCTTGACCTCGTGATCCACCCGTCTCGGCCTCCCAAAGTGCTGGGATTACAGGCGTGAGCCACTTCGCCCAGCCCTTGAAATTTCTTTTTTTTTTAAGAGACAGGGTTTCACCACGTTGGTCAGGCTTGTCTGGTCTGGAACTCCTGACCTCGTGATCTGCCCACCATGGCCTCCCAAAGTGCTGGGATTACAGGCGTGAGCCACCACGCCCAGCCTTGCTGAAATATTTTTACAGGTTGGAGTATTTCCAACTATTATGTGTATATAAAATTTAGTGTTTATATAAGTATCACTTAGTTTTTGGGCAATCATAGAATGGTGAAAATGCTCCTAAATATTAGTTTTCAAAATATTCTCTTCATAAAATGAGTTCCTTTAGAAAGGCAGTTACCTTCTAATAGTTAAAATGGTATCATCTTAAAAGGGCAGATTAGTGAGAGGTCAAGGAAAGGGCTCTATCATTTTTTTCTTGTGCTTGTTCTGTTATCTTCAATTTATGGGTTTCTGACAAGACTCATTTGACAATCCTTTTTTTTTTTTTTGAGACGGAGTTTCACTCTTGTTGCCCAGGCTGGAGTGTAATGGCATGATCTCGGCTCACTGCAACCTCTGCCTCCTGGGTTCAAGAAATTCTCCTGCCTCAGCCTCCTGAGTAGCTGGGATGACAGACATGCACCACCATGCCTGCCTAATTGTTTTTGTATTTTTTGTAGAGATGGGGTTTCACCATGTTGGCCAGGCTGGTCTCAAACTCCTGATCTCAGGTGATCCGCCCGCCTCAGCCTCCCAAAATGCTGGGATTACAGGCATGAGGCACCACACCTGGCTGACAATCCTTAAATCTACCTAACCATACACAGATAAACTGCAATAAAACAAACCACTGTCAACTTAAATTGAGTTATTCTCAATTTTCCTTCATGGTGTCTGGTGTGCCAGCTAATTTTGGAACAGACTGTGACCATCATTCATTCTGATTGGTCAGTGGCTCACCACAAGTTTTGTGGGGTTTTTTGTTTTACTATCACCCCTGCTGAATGACAGGAATGCTATATATCTGTATACTAGGTAGAACAAATTAGGATTCTCATATCAAGCTGTATTTTAAATATTAGCAAAAGCTACTTTTTTTGTAAGATAAAAAATTAACATACATAGAAATTTTCTTCCCTATCCTTCAATGGAGACCTGTGCACATCGTCACACATTCTATCTTGGAAGCTACTGGCATGACAATTCCAGGATGGTCCAGAAAGGCAGATTTTGGTTCACTACACAGAACCATCTTTCAAGAAGTAGAGATTTCCAAAAGGATCAGCACCCCTAAGTAAAGGGTTCCCCAAATATTGGAAGCAGAAGCCAGATGAATGGCTGGATGACGGCTCACGTGAAATGCAGAAGCAAGGGTAAATGGATGGGATTCAGTTACTGCCAAGATCCTTTTCTAAGAGCTCTTCAGTATTATGTTAAAGACTTGAAATGACAGGTGGCACCTTTGTTTCTATGCATAAGGAAACTAACAGGTAATAGGTAACTAGACTAATAGTCAAATAGACGTACCATCAAGCTCAGTGACCTTGGGTAAGTCATTTCATCTTCCTGGCTGTGTTATTTCATCTTCCTGGCTGTGTTTTTTCATCTGTAAAAGATGGGGCCAGAATTAAATAACTTTTAAGGCCCCATACAGCTCTAATATTCTGGGGTTATATGACTCTGCTTCATCAAATATTATGTTGGGTTCTAAAACATACCCTTTAAAAAATTCTTTATTATTATTTTTTAGTTTCTTTGAAATAGAAAGTGTATTTGAAATGCCTTTTTGGTATATATTATAGTGATAAAAGATTTTATTATTTCTTATTTGTGTAATGTGTTTTGTAACTATTACATCAACTTTGTAATTCTGGAATTACATGGGCAATTATTTAAAGTATTTCTCTTTTCAGTTTTCTAAGATTTTATTCAGATTTTTGCATCTATATCCATAAAAAATCAACTATATTATATCATCTTTCTCACATCATTTTATTTTTTAAAATGAAAATCCCGTTTACTTCATTAAATGAGTTAGTGTCTTATGATCATTTTCTATATTTTGGGAGTATATGTTCTTTGACAGTTTAGAAACGTTTCACAAAAGCTTTCACGAGCTAATGCTATTTTTACTGGTTATTCTTAATTTGTGGGTTATTTCTCATAACCAATCTGGAATATTCTCCTGTAAGTGTCAGTTTTGTAATTTTCTATCTTTATAAGGAGCTGGGCATATATCAATCAAACTTTTAGCAGCAAACTGAGAACTCTTTTTCAAATCTAATTGATTTTCAATATTGCCTATTCAATGACGAATTTACCAATTTGTACTTTTATGGCAACACTTTACCAATTTAATCTATAAGAACTAATTTTTTTTTCTAATTTGTGTCATTCGTGCTTAGTTTTATTATTTCCATTTTGATTTCTTTCTAAATTCTAACTATATATCCCTTTAAAAAAACAAAAATATTTCCACCCTATCCCTAATACAGAGATTTAAAGCATGATTCTTTTCTTTTCTGCTTTGGTTTACCGCATTCATTTTCTTGCATGGCATTTGGACATTGGTTATTTTAAAAATATTATCTTCCAGCACATCCTCTGCAATGTAGATGTTACTTAGTGAAGTATTTTTTCCATGTTGTTGATCACCGTTTAATTCTATGTATGTTGTTTATTTCTATTAAAAACAAACCATCAGATTATGTATACATTTCCACCTGTTCTCACATTTCTGGCTACTTTTCTTTCTTGTATTTTGTTATGATGTTCTCTAGAGTTGATTAAATTCAGTACAAATATGTTTTCATTATTTATTAAGGTAATGTAAATTTTACCTTATATTTATTATTAAAAGTTTGATTGTGAAAGGTATTACTATTTTATCACATACAAAGTAAGCAATCACTGCTGCTTTAATATTTGTTCCAGCATGAAGAAAACTTAGACCATCCCTTCATTTTAATTTTTTCCAGCTTAAGTACTTCTATGCTTCTTGTAATGACTGGACTTAGCTTTGTTTACTAAATGAGTGGTCTTTCTTTTCAAAGGTAAATTGAGTCAATCTGTGTTTAACAACACTGTAATTATTAATACATGTTCATAGAATTAATACATAAATTAATGCCTTTTCCGATCCTTCATATCTAGCTTTTTAACCTTAAATTAATATCCATATGTGGGAACTAAATGTAATCTGATATGCTTAGTCAACTTGATGATTGGACAATAACAATATGAACTACGTTGGATTCAGTTACTTCCTCTTTGTTCTTGCAGTGAAAACAATATTTTCTTATGTCAGATTTCTCTCAATCCCTCAGTAAATGAAGACCTAACTGGAACAATATACAGTCCCATTTTAAATTCAAACAAAGATACTCAAGTTTGACAAGAGATTCATGGTAATGTCATTTTAAAAGATAGATCCAATGAACACAGATAAACATCAAAGTCTTCACCATGGCACAACCCTACGCTGCAATCACTATAATAATTCAACTACCTTCATCGTTGGCAGTAACGTCATACAAGTGAATGTGCTGATGATTAGAAAAATTACAAAATGAAAGCCAAGGTCACTTAATCAAGAATTACAACAACAAAGAAATCCTAGGAATGCAGGTCAAGGCAAGAGGCAGCAGCTGGCCTGACAATGATACCATTTGCCTAATGTTCATTTAGGAATTTGCTATCACAAATAAAACACGTATCTCCTCTGAGTTATTAGAACAGAAAAGGAAACAATCAGGTATTACTTATCACCATTATATGACCATGAAATTAAGGTATTTCCTTAATGAATGAGAGAAAAAAAATCATTCTTGTGTTTATAATAGAAGCTCTATTTCTGAATTTAAAACATTACTCAATATTTCCTTAAGTACTGCAATGTAGACAATACAGCCTTTTATTTTTTTTAGTTGAGACAGGGTTTCACCATAGTGGTCAGGCTGATCTTGAACTCCTGATCTTGTGATCTGCTGGCCTCGGCCTCCCAAAATGCTGGGATTAGAGACGTGAGCCACCGTGCCTGGCCTAACAATATAGCTTTTGACATATTAAAAGTTCCAAGGGAAATCTCTTTTAATTTTGCTTTAATACTGAACTAAACAAAGCAGCTGAAAAAATTCAATAAGAGCATGGGTTAGTCCAATTCAAGAAGTGCTTCCAAAATGCAACCACCTCGCTTCTTTTTAGGAGAAACTGTGCATCAACACAAAACTTTTCTAACTTAACTTTGGAGAAGAAAATAGAAAACCAAACCCAGAGCACAACGGTTGTGAAGGTATTTACTCCTCAGCATTAGGCAAAGGAGTGCTACAGCACTCTTACATGTCATTTTATTTCAATAGATGATTCAGCTGGTCCTGTAGATCTGATGACTGTTCAACACTAGAAATTAGAATAGAGACAGGGTTTAATTGGAATGAGCAATAAAGACATCTTTGTAAAAACTACTTTTAAAAAAGTTTTTTTCATTACAGACAGGGTCTCGCTATGCTGCATAAGGCAATCTTGAACTCAGGGCTCAAGCAATCCTTCAGGCTCAGCCTTCCGAAGTCCTAGGATTACAGGTATGAGCCAGCCCCTACACCTGTCCTATACAAGCTATCTGTACTTTAATGCATAAATATTGCTGCATGTAAATCAAAATTTATACTGGTCCAGTTGGGTCCCAGAAGTGTCTAAAGTCTGAAGAAAGGTTTGCAGGTTTGTAAAACCAATTAGTAATGTAAGTAATATTGCAAGGGACAAATTTAACCCATTTTGAAAAACAAGGCTGTTTAATGGCTTTTGCACATTTACTCTGCTTAATGAATATTACCACTCTATTCCTTCAGGTTGGTCTCTATACCCTGTAACTTTTGGAAAGCTTTACTATTAAGAGCAGTGAGTTGAGTTACTGCATGCCTTTGAAATATGCTGTATTCTTTAAACCCCAAGTGAGTATCCCAGAGAGTATTTCAATTTGAGGGCATATGTCAACCAGAGTTTTGTATTGATCCTGGACCCAGCAGTCTAATTTCCCCCAGCCTGCTTCAGTTGGTTCCTTACTCCTCTACCTTTGAGGTTACTTACTTCTTCTGAATAGCTTCTTGCCTAAATCAGAAAAGGAAAGAGGAAAATAGACATTAAGAAAATCTAGTGAACTAGTAGAAGTTTCATTTATGACCAGATACATGCAGTACATGCAGAAGAAATTTCAGTTTATGTCACATTCCGTATTTCTGTCCATCCTATCCTAAGATTGTGCTATTGAACAGAGATCCCTATCTAAGTGCAGAGCTGCTGAAAAGATGGATTCTAAACCTAAACAGATAGTGACACTCTTCCAGAGTGAGAAATGTGGTCCAACAAACTATATGCATGGCTTAAAATTAGTCTGCATATATGGAATCAAATGGTCACATACCTAATATGTAGATACCCAAAGAATGACTATGACAAACATTAGCTATTTAAATATCAAAGAGTGAAATTCCTCTTTCTCTCTCTTTCTTTTGAGAGAGTCTTGCTCTGTCGGCCAGGCTGGAGGGCAGTGGTGACCAATCTCGGCTCACTGCAACTTCCGTCTCCTGGATTCAAGCAATTCTCCTGCCTCAGCCTCCCCAGTAGCTGAGATTACAGGTGTGTCCCACCATGCCCAGCTAATTTTTGTATGTTTAGTAGAGACGGGGTTTCACCATGTTGGCCAGGCTGGTCTCAAACTCCTGACCTCAGGTGATTGGGCGGCCTTGGCCTCCCAAAGTGCTGGAATTACAGGCATAAGCCACCACGCTCAGCCTCATTTTTTTCTTTTTGGAGAAGGAGTTTCACTCCACTCACTGCAACCTCCACCTCCTGAGTTCAAGCAATTCTCATGCCTCAGCCTCCTGAGTAGCAGGAATTACATGCGCCCGTCACCACACCCAGTTAATTTTTTGTATTTTTAGTAGACATGGGGTTTTGCCATGTTGGCTAGGCTGGTCTTGAACTCCTGACCTCAGGTGATCTGCCCTCCTCGGCCTCCCAAAGTGCTGGGATTACAGATGTTAGCCACCGTGCCTGACCCTAACCATATATTTCTAATAAGTACATAAATATAATATCGAGTACATAAAATGTAAAACAACAGGAAATAGGACGAAAAGCAAATTCTAATGGAGAAGGGGGTCTCTTGTATTTCAAAATTCCTTACATGATTTACATGTAGCAAGTGCCACAATTACCTACATACTATGTAAAATGCAGGTACATTACACTTGATTTCCTAGTAGAGGAGCCGACTTCCCAGGAGAGACCTTGGGTACAGTCAGTCAACAAATACTGACTAACTGCCTCATTGGTGCAAAGTACAGTGCTAGCATGGTCCTGGCATGGGCCCTTCCTTTAGGGGGTTTACAGTCTCTCTGTGAGGAGCTCTCAATTTAACATGGGGAGGTTCATAAAAGGTGGACTCTGCTCCTGATTCTCATCCCTTATCCCCACTTCTTCTGTAGTCTCAGGCATCTCAGCCATGGAGAAAAGTCATCCTTGGCCACCCCCACCTTTACTCCCACTCTGGCCTCCATAGGAAAGCGCTAAAGCACAAAGGCCATGAAAGCTGCCTGGGGTTAACAATTTTGCAGTGAATAGTTGCTGGAGGCGGCATACTCACTGGTATTGAAGATGTGTTGTTATGATTGCCATCTTCCTTAAACTCTGCATAAAAAGAGAGAAGAAATAGAATATTCCACCTCCCTGCGGCCCTACAAACTATACACATAAAACCCAAATCATTTTTGTAAAAAAGTTGTTTCTTACATCTTCTGAGTGCAAGATGGCATCTTCCTGTAGTACCATGTTTCGAGCTGCCTGACCTAGCAGCTGGAAGACAAAAGTAAATGGTAATAATCAAAATTCCCAAACTTCCTGTAATCTTCTCTCTGCAGCTGTTACACCACAACCCTCTCTCCTCTCCCACTCTTCCACCCTATACAACCACAAGCACTCAAAATGTAATGGAGAATAATTTTCTGTTGGCTCATGTCGAAAATTCATTTCACTGGCACTATGGCAGTTCTGGCATGGACTCGACATCTGTTCCAAAGGCCTGAGAAATCAAGGGCTTCCTAACTGCTGAGCTGTTGGCACAGTGTATTCATTAAGTGCTAAGAGAAGTCTGCGAAAAAGTTTGGCTCTACAAGTCCAGTGAGAGAACATGACTCCTGATCTTTAAAGGCAGATTTGAGATTTGGGGTGGCTTGAGAGTGATAAAGGAGCAAGAGTTAGAAGGCAGCTGAAAAGGACAGAGGAATATAGCTGTTTAGAAACGGAGTAAGGGAAGGCCGGGTGCAGTGGCTCATGCCTGTAATCCCAGCAGTTTGGGAAGACGAGGTGGGCAGATCACTTGAGGTCAGGAGTTTGAGACCAGCCTGGGCAACGTTGTGAAACCCCATCTCTACCAAAAAAATATAAGTTAGCCAGGCGTGGTGGCGCGTGCTTATAATCCCAGCTACTTGGGAGGCTGAGGTGGGAGAACTGCTTGAACCCAAGAGGCAAATGTTGCAGTGATCCAAGATCGCACCACTGCACTGCAGCTTGGGCGACAAAGCAAGACCCTGTCTCAAAAACACAGAAAGAAAAATAATAAGGGAAACAGTCGGGGGTGGGGGCAGGGGAAGCCATGAGAAGAAGCTCAGGGCTTAAAATGGGGAATCACTCCATAAAAGATGGCCAGACAGGGCTGGGAAAAAGAAGAGAAAGGAGATGGCTGGGCACGGTGGCACATGCCTGTAATCCCAGCCTTTTCGGAAGCCAAGGCGGGCAGATCACCTGAGGTCAGTTCAAGATCAGCCTGGCCAATATGGCAAAACCCCTCTACTAAAAGTACAAAAATTAGCCAGGTGTGGTAGCACACACCTGTATTCCCAGCTACTTGGGAGGCTAAGGCAGGAGAATCGCTTGAACCTGGGAGGCAGAGGTTGCAGTGAGCTGACATCGTACCATTGCACTCAAGCCTGGCAACAAAGTGACTCTCTGTTTCAAAAAAATAAAAGAAAGAAAAAGAAAAGAAAGGAGAAATGTGCAGGCAGAATTTAATGAAGTCACTGAGTTGAATGGGTCCTGAGACCAAGAAAGAAAAGCAGAGCTCAGATTCAGCTGAGCAGCCTACAGTCAAGACAGAGCTGAGTGCATTAGCACTGAGAGGAAGGCAGAAACCAGCAGAAATTTCTGGCCTAATACTGCACCCTGCTCCTGGCATACCTAAATCCCACCAAGTAAAAGGAGCCGCTGTTATGTGTCTCCTACCAGTCCTTCCCTGTTCTCTTGGGTCAGGAAGACTGGTGAAAACGGTGGTGTGACTTTCCTAGAGTAACTAGGACTGCCAGATTCCTTCCCCAACCCAGGGCAACTTTATTTTTAAGTTTTAAAGTTAGTAAACCTTTCTGGACTCCTAAAGTCAAAACAATAAAATAGGACTTTCCATCTATGTCCCTTTCTTTCCCTGTTCTCTCCCCCACATGCATAGCTATTTTTTTATTTTCATTTTTTTGAGACAGGGTCTCACTCTGTCACCCAGGCTGGAGTGTGGTGAAGTGATTTTGGCTCTTTGCAACCTCAACATCCTGGATTCAAGCAATTCTCCTGCCTCAGCCTCCAGAGTAGTTGGGATTATAGGTACACACCACCATGCCCAGCTAATTTTTGTATTTTCGGTAGAGATGAGGTTTCACGGTGTTGTCCAGGCTGGTCTCAAACTCCCGATATCAGGTGATCTACATGCCTCAGCCTCCCAGAGTGCTGGGATTATAGGCGTGAGCCACCATGCAGGGCCCCATACATAACTATTTTTATTAGTTTTGGGGTTTTCTTTCCAATGTTCCTTTTTAAACAAAGGACACATGTATTTATTTTCCCCCATACAACCTTCCTACTTAAAATGTAACATACTATGTGTACTTGTTCACACCTTGCACATACTCTCTCTCTCTCTCTCTCTCTATATATATATATGTATATATATATATATATATATATATTTTTTTTTTTTTTTTTTTTTTTTTTTTTGAGACGGAGTTTCGCTCTTGTTACCCGGACTGGAGTGCCATGGTGCGATCTCGGCTCACGGCAACCTCGGCCTCCTGGGTCCAGGCAATTCTCCTGCCTCTCAGCCTCCTGAGTAGCTGGGATTACAGGCACGTGTCACCATGCCCAGCTAATGTTTTGTATTTTTAGTAGAGACAGGGTTTCGCCATGTTGACCAGGATGGTCTCGATCTCTTGACCTCGTGATCCACCCGCCTCGGCCTCCCAAAGTGCTGGGATTACAGGCGTGAGCCACCGCACCCGGCCACTCTGTCACCCAGGCTGAGTGCAGTGGCACCATCACTGCTCACTGAAGCCTCAACCTCCCAGGCTCAGGTGATCCTTCCACCTCAACCTCCAGAGTAGCTGGGACTACAGGTGCACACCACCATGCCCAGATAATTTTTTGTATTTTTTGTAATAACGAGGTTTCACATGTTGCCCAAGCTGGTCTTAAACTCCTGGGCTCAAGTGAGTGGCCCACCTCGGCTTTCCAAAGTGCTGGGATTACAAGCATGAGCCACAGCGCCCAGCCTACACCTTGCTATTTTCACTGCAATAGATCCCTGAGGGTTATCTCCAGCAATACATATTGAATCTCCTATTCAACTGCTATCTCTTATTGAACCCACTGCTCTTTTACAACTGTAGAGTACCACATTCTATAGGTGACCATAAGATTATTCAATCAGGCCGCGTGCGGTGGCTCACACCTGTAATCCCAGCACAGGCGTGTAGATCACGAGGTCAGGAATTCGAGACCAGCCTGGCCAAGATTGTGAAACCCCGTCTCTACTAAAAATAAAATAAAATTAGCCGGGCATGGTGGCACACACCTGTAGTCGCAGCTACTTGGGAGGCTGAGGTAGAAGAATCGCCTAAACCCAGGAGGTAGAGGTTGCAGAGAGCCAAGATCACACCACTGCACTCCAGGCTGGGTGACAGAGTAAGACTCGGTCAAAAAAAAAAAAAAAGATTATTCAATCAGTTCTCTGCTGGGGGTGCTGAGAGATTTGGGAGCTGTTCCCAGTCTTTCCCCAAAGTAAGTAGTGATCCAAAAAATTCTCATATCTTATATCTTATGTCACAGCTTTTACTGTTACAGATATCCATATCTTTGCATCTTTTTGCCAGCATATGTTTGGGATAGACTCAAAGGCTGTGATTGTGATTGTGGGGTTTGAATTTTGCTACATATTCCCAAATTCCTCTCCTTTAAGGCTGTACCACTTTGTGTTCCCACCAACAATTATGAAGTGCCTGTTCCTCCTACGGCTACTTTTAAGGGAAAACTTCAAACGCCTATAGATGGGAGATGGTGACTTATAAACCAATGGCAGGAAAAAAAAGGGGAGGTTCTAACAGAATCTATTTCATTCACTTATTCATTCAACAAATATTTATTGAGTGTTTAACAGATGCCCATACTCTAGTTAAGTGTGATAACAGAGCTCACAATCTGGAGGGGGTACAAAGGAGACACAAGCACTTAAATCACCTTATGGTAAGTGCTGATGGGGAAGCACTGGCTGCTCCGGGAGCACAGAGTGGGGCAGGAGTATCTAACCGATTACAGGGGTAGGTGTTCAGGAAGGGTTCCTAAAAGAAGAGACTTCTAATCTGAAACTTAAAAGTTAGGGTTTAGTCAGTTTGCATGAGAAAAAAAAAGTTAGGGTTTAGAATTCATCTTGTGTGTATAATTTTAGAAGAAAATGACATGATCCATTTTTCTGTTTTAGAAATGCGGTAAACAGGTGGACTAGAGTGGGGAATGCGGCAGAGAGATTGGTCAGGAGGACACGGCAGGACTCCAAGCAAGCAACAAGGATGGCCTGAAACACAGAAGCGGTGGAGAAAAACAGAAACAAACAGGATTTGTGAGACATTTAGAAAACAGTCTCGATGGGAGTTGTGGCTGCCTTGATGCATGGGCTGTTGTCATGTAACGCCAAGGCCTTTCCTTGATATATTCATTGGCAATCGGCATCACTTTCCTACATAAGCCAACCAGACACATAACACACCATCTGGGATTTCTAGCTTTGCTTTCATTAAAATGGAAGAACATTGGTCGGGCACGGTGGCTCATGCCTGTAATCCTAGCACTTTGGGCGACTGAGGCAGGAGGATCACAAGGTCTGGAGTTCAAGACCAGCTTGGCCAATAAGGTGGTCTCTACTAAAAATACAAATATTAGCCAGGTGTGGTGGCAGGTGCCTGTAGTCCCAGCTACTCAGGAGGCTGAGACAGGAGAATCGCTTGAACCTGGGAGGCCAAGGTTGCAGTGAGCCGAGATCGTGTTACTGCACTCCAGCCTGGGCAACAGAGCGAGACTCCATTTCAAAAAATAAAAAATAAAAAGGAAGAACATCTTGAATACATCTGTAAAACAACCTTCACTACGGAATCTTTTTAGAGTTCTACAAATTTTTCTCCCAGGCTTTTACCATTAACTTGTTCATAATTAACTCAAGAACAATTTGTCTTAGCTACTCATCTTCAACAAGTGTTTCTGATTTTCACCTTCATTTTCACAGCAATAGCTACCCTCTTTTTTGGTACTCATATATCATAATTTTTCATATTATTTCATTAAATTATGTAGTTGCAACGTAAGCATAAGTGTCAGTCACACATTTTAACATTTTTTCATTCTTTTTTTTTCTTTCTTTAAAGAAACAGGATATTCCTATGTGGCCCAGGCTGGTCTCCAACTCCTGAGCAATCTTGCCTCCAGCATTCCAAAGTGTTAAGCTTACAGGCATGAGCCACTGCGCTCAGCCCACACACACATGACGTTGAGAAAAAAACACAATGGACCCTCACTAGGCACACAACTCAAATGGAGGAGCAGAAGCACAGGCATGCAAGAGCCTATTGGTCATACCCACTCATTGTGCTGTGGGGAAATGGTGTTTCTCCTCACAGCCTCTCTCCCCAGAGGCCTTCCCTGATCATCTATTTAAGATTAACCCTTCTGGCTGGGCGTGGTGGCTCACATTTGTAATCCCAGCACTTTGGGGGTCCAAGGCACAAGGATCACTTGAGGTCAGGAGTTGGAGACCAGCCTGGCCAAGATGATGAAACCCCATCTCTACTTAACACACAGAACTTAGCTGGGCATGGTGGCAAGCACCTATAATCCCAGCTACTTGGGAGGCTGAGACATAAGAGTCAGTTGAACTCTGCACCCAGGAGGTGGAGGTTCCAGTGAGCTAGATCACACTACTGCACTCTAGCCTGAGGCAACAGAGCTAGAGAGCATGAAAAAGACTTCTCCTCTATCTCAAACAAACAAAAAAGATTAACCCTTTCATCACTCTCTATTCCTAGATTATTTTTTCTTCATAGGATTTACCACCACCTAATTTTTTTGTTTCATTTGTTTATTGCCTGTCTCTTCATTAAAATATAAATGTCCTAAGTACAGGGATTTACTTTTGTTTATCCCTTGTACCTAGAAAACAGTTCCTGGCACATACCAGACACCTACTATTTGTTAAATGAATACTGTGGAATGAATGTTTTACACATGAAAATTCTTAATCAAACAAAACAACTGTGTGGAGACTGCTCAAGAAGCAATACTTTATAGGCTAAGAGGAATTGAAAATCAGTAAGATACTCCAATAACCTGAGTCTAGTAAAGAGCAAAATTACGTAAGTAACCGTAGAAAAAGATGGTATGGTATGCGATAAGTGCCATGCAGGAGATCCAATAAAAAGATGATGTCTATAAAAATAATGAATAAGAGAAAAGAAAAGACGAAGTCTAGAGAAGTGAGAAATGATATGTCAACCCTGTCTCAGAAAGCTGGACTGATTTCAGCTTAATTCAATCCACACCACTTACTGAGCATCCAATCTAAATTTACTCAGAAGAAGCCCAGGTGAAAAGTACGTAAGGAAGAGGAATGGGAAGCAGCAAGGCAATCAGGGAGGTCACTGGTGGCACGGTGGCTTTTTGGCCTTTTAATCCAGCTAGGACCACATAAGAGGTAGTATCCAAGCCTAGAACCAGTATGCCTAGGTTTGAATCCTAGTTCTCCTTCCCTGCTAGGTGTGAACAAGTTAAATTCCTCTCTGTATCCTCTATGTAAGAAAAGTACTCCCTTTATTAGTCATTCTAAAGACTTCATGAATTGAACTGCAAAAAAGACAGTAGTGTCAGCACATATAAAATGCTAAATAAATGTAATGTTTATTATGATGATGAATAGGTTCAATATTTACAGGTTGTTAACTATAAACACCAGCTAGCCACCCCCCTACACACACACATATTTTTTTTTTTTGAGACAGGGTCTTGTTCTCCGTCACCCAAGCTGGAGTGCAGTGGCACAATCTTGGCTCACTGCAACCTCCACCTCCTGGGTTCAAGTAATTCTCCTGCCTCAGCCTCCCAAGTAGCTGGGATTACAAGCGCATACCACTATGCCTGGCTAATGTTCATATTTTTAGTAGAGACAGTTTTGCCATCTTGACCAGGCTGGTCTTGAACAACTGACCTCAAGATATCCACCCACCTCAGCCTCCCAAAGTGCTGGGATTACAGGCATGAGCCACGGCACCTAACCAAAATTTATATATTTATACCATTCCCTCCACAAAGATTCAAGACAATTTATACCAAACTATGTTTATGTACACATATATACATATATATTTTGAAAAACAGAAACAGAATTTAAAATGAAAAAGAGAAGGAACTATGTCTACAACTAAAACTGACATAGGAACTTCTGTACAACCAAGGCAAAAAGTGAAACACAATGAGTTGCAAAATTCTTATTATTTGGTAAAAGGCAACATAATCTTTCAACATAAACTTTCCTTTGATACTGAATCCTAAAAAGAGCATAACATGTGGGACCCCCAACAAAGCATATTTGGGATTATCACGTTGGCGATTTCAACAATAGTGTTGTGATAAATGCAAACACCTTCTTCATACAATTGTTTCTTGTAGCCACTATCAATAAAACCTAGACAATGCATTGAAGCCAATTTTGTAAAGAGAAGTCTACTGCTCCAAACCAATATAAGTAAAGCTGCTATGAACATTCATATACAATCCAAAGACTTGCGGACATACTAAGCTTGCACTACAACTATGTAACTTAATAAAATAACATGGAAACTGATGAAATATGAGTTAAAAAACAGAAACAGGTGCTATAAAACTAAGTTGAAAACAGGAAACACTCACTAACAATGAGTACTTGTGTTGAGTTTTGTTTGTTTGTTTTTGAGACAGAATCTTGCTCCGTCACCCAGGCTAGAGTGCAGTGGCACAATCTCAGCTCACTGCAACCTCCATCTCCGGGGTTCAAGCGTTTCTCCTGCCTCGGCCTCCCGAGTAGCAGAGACTACAGGCACACGCACCACCACGCCCAGCTAATTTTTGTATTTTTAGCAGAGACAGGGTTTTGCCACGTTGGCCAGGCTGGTCTCAAACTCCTGACCTCATATTATCCACCCACCTCGGCCTCCCAAAGTGCTGGGACTACAGTTATGAGCCACTACAGAAATGTAAAACGATGCTGTGCTCAGATTGCTTTTACAGATATTCAAGATGTTAGAGTTGAAAGAAACCCAAACTGGAAATCTTAGATGATATGTTATGTAGGTAGTTGCTTTATCTAACAAATTGATGAACCTATGTTTTCATTTCTCTTGAGTAAACACCTAGGAGTGGAATGGCTACGTCATTGACCCATTTCATTTATCTATTCACCAGTCAATGGGCACTGGGGTTGTTTCCAGTTTGGTGCTATCAAAAATAAATGTGCTACGAGGATGTGTAAACATTTGTGTGGCCATATACTTTCATTTCTCTGGGGTGAATATCCAGGAGTTCAATGGCTAGGTCTGTTTTTGGATAGAGACAGGGTGCACACATACAAAGCTTTCTGGTTAAGAAAAGCCATCAAATAATTCCATTCATGGAACCAGCCAGAGGATGGAAGGGAGAAAACAAGGGAAAGGAGAAAGCTAATCTATGAAACAGAAAATCAAGAAGTGGCCAGAAAAACAAATCAGGAAAGAATAAATCCATAGACAGGTGATGCACAAATGTGTGAAAGGAATCCGAGATGCTGGGGACAAACCACGCGGAACTGGCTGAAAGGAACCAATCTTCACTGCAGGTAACTCGGAGAAACAAATGAGGAACCGGTTGGGAACACTGGCTCGTGGGCAGTGCAGCAGCTCTCTCTGTATAAAAGCACAGATTCCCATGGCATCATTTCTTCCCTCCACCCTCACGCACAATCTCTAACCAAAGAGACTACACACCCCGTAATGGAACACACGCCTCCGCGAACTAGACCTACACTTAGCGAGTACTTCATGGCCTACAACTCCCAGGATGCAACATGACATCCCTCCCACAGCACCGAGAGCCTGCGACTACCCGGACTATCAGGCCGGGAGAGTCCACTCCCAGCTCACCTCAGAGCTCCGGGAGCCCTTCAGCACCTGCTTGGTGAGCGCGATTACGTCAGTACCACAGGTGGTCACCTTCTCTGTGAGAAGCCCCTTCACGGACTGACCGAATCGCGCTTGAGAATCTGGCGTTCCAGTAGCCATCACTGCAACTAGCGAACGTCTCCGCACGGCGACGGCGAGTCGCCGGGGCCAAAATACAGGCAAAGCGGAAGGAAAAGAGGAGGTGTCTCACCTCGTCCGTGGGAAAATTAAGGCACGCATGCGCCTGATGGAGATTGACCTTTGCTCACTAAATTCTAATGAACTATTCATTGACATCCTGAGGAAAACTGGGTCCAGGCAAAGATCTCTGGAGGGGATGGAGAGCAGTTTCACTGAATCTATGGTTTAGAATCAGAAAGCCTGCCGCAGGGCATGGTGGCTCACGCCTGTAATTCCAGCACTTTGGGAGGCCCAGCCCAGGAGAATCACAAGCCTGGGAGTTCCAGACCAGCCTGGGCAACGTAGTGACACCCTATCTCTTAAAAAAAAAAAAAAAATGAATAAAAAGAATCAGAAGGCTTGGATTACAGTCCCAATGTTACCATTTAGCAGTGTGTGGCTGCAAATTACTCAGCCTCTGGGTCTTACATTCCTCATCTGTTAACAGAAGTAATAATGTTTCCAAGGGGTTATGAGAGTATCATTCCATTTTTTTTTTTTCCTTAGACAGAGTCTTGCTCTGTAGGCCTTTTTTTTTTTCTTTAATTGAAACAGGCTGGGCACGGTGGCTCACGCCTGTAGTTCCAGCACTTTGAGAGGCCGAGGCAGAAGGATTGCTTGAGGCCGGGAGTTCAATATTAGCAGCCTAGGTGACATAACAATAACTTGTCTCATTTTATTTTATTTTATTTTTGAGACGGAGTTTCGTTGTTGTTACCCAGACTGGAGTGCAATGGCACGACCTCGGCTCACCACAACCTCCGCCTTCCAAGTTCAAGTGATTCTCCTGCCTCAGCCTCCCGAGTAGCTGGGACTACAGGTGCCCACCACCAGGCCTGGCTAATTTTTGTATTTTTAGTAGAGACAGGGTTTCACCATGTTGGCCAGGCTGGTCTCAAATTCCTGACCTCCAGTGATCCACCGGCCTTGGGCTCCCGAAATGCTGGGATTACAGGTGTGAGCCACTGCACCTGGCCTCATTCCATTCAATTTTAACAAACATTTCATGAAATAAATACCAGACATGGTACTAGGCTGGGGATAGAAAAAGAAATGAGATACAGTTCTTGTCTCCATGGAGCTTCCAGGCTGATGAGGTAGACAGGCCTTTAAACAAAGAAGGAAGAACAACCTAATAGAAAAATTGGCAAAAGGCACAAACAAGCAATTTAAAAAAATCAACTGGCTGATAAATGTGAAAAATGCTCAGCATCACCAGTAATTTTTATTGATAAATAACCTCTTTATTAATACCAAACTGATGGTAACCACCTTGTAAGTGAATTGATATGTAAAATATTTCAAGTAGCTCCATTTCTTTTTTAGTTAATTAACAAACAAGATGATAATTTTATTACATTGAAAATTTTGTTCAAAATTACCTGTATTCAGTATCAACATTACTTCCTCTTCCAAGTGCCTAGATTCGTATGTCTCTACTGAATCTCATTCACTGTTGACTTTTTGTCCTTAATAAACTTTATTGAGTTTATGTGCATGAATTTATGTTATAATTTATGTACAATAACTACATTCTTTTTTTTTTTTTGAGACAGAGTCTCACTCTGTCACCCAGGCTGGAGTACAATGGTGCCATCTCGACTGACTGCAACCTCCGCCTCCCAGGTTCAAGCAAGCGATTCCACCACCTCAGCCTCCCGAGTAGCTAAGATTACAGGTGCCCGCCACCACGCCCAGCTAATTTTTGTGTTTTTAATAGAGATGGGTTTTTACCATGTTGGCCAAGCTGGTCGCGAACTCAGGTGATACACCCACCTTGGCCTTCCAAAGTGCTGGCATTACAGGCGTGAGCCACAGTGCCCAGCCTGTACAATAACTACGTTCTTTAAAATGTATAGTTTGATGTGTGACAAATGTATACACCTGTGAACCACCGCCACTATTAAGATACAGATCAGGCCAGGCACAGTGGCTCATGCTTGTAATCTTATCACTTTGGGAGGCTGAGGCCAGTGGATCATTTGAGGTCAGGAATTTGAGACCAGCCTGCCTAACATGGAACATGGTGAAACCTCTTCTCTACTCAAAATACAAAACTTAGCCAGGTGTGGTGATGTGCACCTGTAGTCCCAGCTACTTGGGAGGCTGAGGCAGGAGAATCAATTGAACCCAGGAGGCAGAGGTTGCAGTGAGCCGAGATCACACCACTGCACTCCAGCCTGGAGACAGAGCAAAAGAGAACAGTGGCTCATGCCTGTAATCCCAGAACACTGGGAGGCTGGGGCAGAAGGGTAGCTTGAGGCCAGGGGTGCAGTATCAGCAGCCTGAGCAACATAGCAACAACTTGTGTGATTTTATTTATTTTATTTTATTTTTTGAGAGGGAGTCTTGTTCTGTCATCCACGCTGGAGTGCAATGGCGTGATCTCAGCTCACCGCAACCTCCGCCTCCCCGGTTCAAGCGATTCTTCTGCCTCAGCCTACCGAGTACCTGGGATTACAGGCATGTGCCAGCACCCTGGCTAATTTTGTATTTTTAGTAGAGACGGGGTTTCCTCCATGTTGGTCAGGCTGGTCGCAAATTCCCAACCTCAGGTGAGCCGCCTGCCTCAGCTTCCCAAAGTGCTGGGATAACAGACGTGAGCCACTGCACCAGACTTTATTTATTTATTTATTTAGAGATGGATCTTCCTCTTTCGCCCAGGCTGGAGTGCAGTGGTGCGATCTCGACTCATTGCAACCTCCACCTCCCAAGTTCAAGCAATTCTCCTGCCTCAACCGCCTGAGTAGCTGGGACTAGAGGCGCCCACCACCCTGCCCGGCTAATTTTTTGTTGTTATATTTTTAGTAGAGACGTGTTTCACCATATTGGCCAGGCTGGTCTCGAACTCCTGAACTTGTGATCCACCCACCTCGGCCTCCCAAAGTGCTGGGATTGCAGGCATGAGCCACTGTGCCCAGCTATTTATTTATTTTTGAGACAGTCTTGCTCTGTTGCCCAGGCTTGAGTGCAGTGGGGCAATCCTGACTCACTGTAACCTCTGCCTCTGACTACAGGTGTGTGCCACCACACCTGGCGAATTTTGGATTTTTTTTCTTTTCTTCTTTACCACGAAAGACTAGGAATTTCAGGAAGAATAATTTTGGATTTTTAGTAGAGATGGAGTCTCACCATGTTGGACAGGTTGGTTTCAAACACTTGACCTCAAGTGATCCACCCACCTCAGCCTTTCAAAGTGCTGGGATTACGGGTGTGAGCCACTGTGCCCAGCCCTTTGTCTCAATTTAAAAAAAGATGCAAAACATTTTTATCACCCTCAGAAGTTTCCAAGTGCCCTTTAAAGTCCGTCTCTCCCTCTATGTCTCACCCTGGGCGACAAATGAACCCACTTTGAGGAACTATGGGTTAATCTGCATTTCCAGAATGGCAAATAAATGGCATCATACAGGATTTTGGGGGGGATCCTTTTTTGTCTGGCTTCTTTCTTGCTGCATGATGATTTGACACTTATCTATGTCACTGTGCATGTGACTAGTCTGTGCATTGTTACTACTGAGAAATATTCCACTGCATGCATAGTTCTGTGTTTATTCACTCTCTTGTTGATGGACACTTGGGTTGTTTCCACTTTTGGGTTTTTGTTGTGTCGTTTTTTGGTTTTGGTTTTGTTGTTGCTGCTGTTGAGACAGGGTCACTCCTCTGTCATCCAAGCTGGAGTGCATGGCATGATCACAGCTCAACCACCCAGGCTAAAGCAATCTTCCCGCCTCAGCCTCCAGAAGAACTGGAACTACAGACTCATGCCACCATGACTGGCTAATTTTTACAATTTTTTTCTGTAAAGACAGGGTCTCCCTGTGTTACCTGGGGTCAAGTGGTCCTCCTGCCTTGGCCTCCCAAAGTGCTGGGATTACAGGCGTGAGTCCATCACACCTGGCCTCTGCTTTTGGACCATTATGAATGAAGCTGCTACAAACATTTGCACACAAGTCTTTATGTGGGTTGTCTTCACTTCTCTTGGGTAAATATCTGGTAGTAGAACAGTTGGGTCATATGGTAAGCGTTTCAGTTTTCAAGAAACTGGCAAACCGTTTTCCAAACTCGTTTAACATTTTACATTTCCAATAACAGAGTAGGCCACTCCAGTTGCTCCGTGTCCACAAACTTAGGAAAAGATGGAATGTTCTATAGCCATGCTAACAAGTAGCTCCCTGTGGTGGACAGACTTGCCACTGACAGGTAACCTCCGTGACCCCCAGCTCCTGGTGTTCTTGCTCTTGTGTGATCCTCTTGTCTTGCACGTAGTCATGAACTTTGATTTGCTTCCAATCAGTAGTATATACACAGGCAATGGGAAGCACATGAGAACGTTACATAAGACTACACAATGTTGCATCACCATTCCCTTATCTTGCTGGAGGCTCTCTCTCTTGCTGGCTGTGAGTAAGTGAGTGGCTATGTTGGAGAACTCCATGTGACAAGGAACTGTAAACACCATCTAGTCACCTACCTCTGGGCCTCCAGCTCATGGCCAGCGGAAAAAGAAAAAAAAAAAATAAAAGCTCTCAATCCAGCAATCAAAAGGAACTGAATCCTGCTGACAACCAGGCTGATAGGAAGCAAATTCTTCCCCAGTACAGCCTCCAGATGAAACCCAGCGCTGGCCCACACCTTGACTGCAGCATGTGGGACGCTAAGCAGATGGCCCAGAGAAGCTGTACTTAGGTTCCTAACCCACCAAGACTGTAAGATAATACATGTGTGTCGTTTTAAGCCACGAAGTTTGTGGTAGTATTCATGGTAATGTGGTAATAGAAAACTAATATATCACTAGAACTCGTTTGAAATCTGTTCAGCCAGGTGCAGTGGCTCATACCTGTAATCCCAGCACTTTGGGAGGCTGAGGTGAAAGGATCACTTAAGCTCAGGAATTCAAGACCAGCCTGGGCATCATGGTGAAACCCCACCTCTATGAAAAATTCAAAACTTAGCTGAGCATGAAGATGTGCACCTGTAGTCCCAGCTACTCGGGAGGCTGAG